CCCTGACCCTTCAAGTACACCCTATACTTCCTAAACCAAGTCCAGGCTACAGCAGCTGATGTGTCTGCGGAAATCGAACGGGTCGGCGCCTTATGATGGATACAGCAGTGGGGTGAACATTCACAACCCCCACCACCGCTTTCAGGGTGTAGGGGTTGAGGGTTTAGGGTCTCCCAAAACAGTGGTTAACAGAAAGAGCTAAAATACGGCATGTGCAACTTCAATGCGGACGATCTTCCTTGCAGGGAACCTTTTTGCGGCTTCCCTTGTTGCTTCTGGGGTGTGAGGGCTTGATGGTTTGGGGCGGTTAGGGTCTGAAGTTTTCCCCTTTTTTTGGAATATATTGGGATAATGGAAAAGAAAATGGATGTTGGGGGAGATATATATATATATATATGTGGTATTATTTGGATAATGGAAAAGAAATTTGAGTTTTTCACACAAGAGGCCTTCCAGGTAGAGACATGTCCTGAACGCTGGCATCGAGGCCCCCAAAACACTGAAACCATCTTCTGTTTCATGGTCCATCTAAATGTGCAATCATTGGGGTATTGGGGTAATGTTCCTATGTATATAACCCACATCATACCCTAAGCCTTAAACCCTAATCCTACACTCCGAGCATTATACTCCTCAGCTCATATGAACTCCAGACATTCTACCAAAAAACTTGTCTTGTCCACATCGTTTCTTGGAGGGTCAAAGATACACTGAGTATTTGGGTATACAGGTTCCCAATGCGGAATCAGATTAGGTCCTCCTTTAAGGTAGAGTGTTTTACAACAAGAACATGGTTCAATCGCCAGAAACTCCACATTCACATCGCCCTGCGTATCCCTGTACAAACCCAGTTGCCATGTGATGCTCCATGTTCTTTCCTGTTTGGTGTTCCATTATGGTTCCTAAATCCTATAAACCTTAGATATCCCAATTATTCCCTACAGATTCCTTACCCTAAGGCTCTTGGACCCTCATAATGGGATCCCAACCTTAGCTCCCAAAGCCCGAACCTTCCCCCAAAAGCCCCAAATACTCCCTCCTATCACACCCCAAACCCTAAACCTTAAACCCCAAATCCCCAACCCTAGATATGCCACTTATACCCTACATGACCCCTAAATAACTCCTATCACTCCTTTGAACCCCAAGTATCCCAACTATACCCTATGTATCCCCTACATAACTCCCAGTATATCCCTTGTATAACCCCTATATAATTCCTACCACTCCTTTTTTACGCCTTCCCCCCCTAAACCCTAAACCCTAAACCCCTAAACCCTAAACCCTTTTAAGCCTTCCCCCAAGCTCAGGTTGAGATCTTCGGGCTGAAGGCTCCGCCGGCCCATGCCGAGGCCACCGTGGCCGGCAAGAGCTCAGCGCTGCCGACACCCATCTCGCATCGGCCTTAGACATCGTTTAGGGTTTAGGGGTTTAGGGTTTATGGGATATGGGATTTGAGGGTTTAGGGCTTAGGGTTATAGAGTTTAGGGTTTAGGGCTTAAGGCTTAGGGTATAAGATTGAGGGTTTAGGGTTTAGGGCTTAGGGTATAAGATTGAGGATTTAGGGTTTAGGGTTTATGGTTTAGGGCTTAGGGTTCAAGGCTTGATTATAGGGTTTATGGTGTAGGAGTTAGGGTTTTGGGCTTTTGGGTTTTGGGTTAGAGTTCAGGGTTTGTCATGACTTTTGCTGAAGGTCTGCAGGCATCAAGCCACAGACTCCATTATCCCGGGGCTTGGGGCCAGGTGGGTAGTCTCCCCCCATAGAATACCGCCTGGGTCCCCGCCTATGTCTGATATAAGCCTCATGCCACCTGGTAACTCCCCACCTGAAAGGTCTCTTAATAGGCCCCTCCAATAGGGTTCCAGATTTAGGGCTTAGGGTTCGCAGTACCCTAAAGGCACGGTTACTTGCGATCGGGTAGCGCAGTCAACAACCTTCACTGAATTTGGATATGTGCAAACTATGAGACATGCGGTATTCCTACGTGTCCTACGCGTCTCCTCTAAGGAGATCATGACTTCGACAGCAAAGTAGCCTCTTCAGCCGATGTCGACCCCACACAGCCTGACTATTCTAGCCCGTGAACATGCGAAGCCTGTAGGTCTCAAGCTGAGGCTACACCAATACCTAAGCATTTGATTGAAGCTCTGATCAAGCTCCGCCTCTAAATTATGGAATCTAGTAGATCAGTCACATGCTCCAAAAAGTAAAAGGATTCTTGCAAAAAAATGGTGCCTTCACATACACGCTTTACTAGGAGGGTCAGGCGACTTTGTAAGTAGGCTAATGGCCAATTGTCCCTGTTATTATAACCTACCCTAAACCCTGATTCACATAGACGCCACTCTGAACCATACCCAGGACCTTATACCCTAACGGTTTTTGGTGTACATCTATATATATGGTACCCCCCCCCCCTCCCCCAAAACCTACATTTTTAG